GGAGGTGCCAGGCTCCTTTTAACAACTAGCTCTGGCTGTGAACTAATAAAGTGAGAACTTACCCATTATCAGGGAAGGACACCAAGCCATTCACGAGGGATTTGATCCCATAACCCAAACACCTCCCACCAGGCCCCACATTCAACACTGGGGATCAAATTTCAACATGTTCATTAGAATCACCTTATTCCTTAATTATCTTTAATGTTTCCCCTTTGAACTATGGGGATTTAGATTACAGTTTAACATATTTTATCTACTACACTGCATTTCTCATCTATGCTTCTGTAGTTCAAACGGAAATGTGACACTCTTGATTCACCTTCAAGGAAAGTCTTGCTGTGAAGTCAGTAGCATGTATTAGGGAATGGGGTGGGGGAGTTGGATGGGACAAAATTTTGAGAAATTAGTTATGGTTCTCCTTTCACTTTGGGGACTCTCCTCATCTCTCGCCATCCAATCATACTTCAGGGAAGAGTAAAATGGAAAAGCAAAGAGAAATGAACCGTTAATTAGGAGATTTTGAGTTTCAAAACTTAATATAATAATTTTGAGTATGAGATAAGACTTTTGGGGATTTTTTTGAGCCTGGTTCTGGACTCAAACAATAGGCATCAGGGGCTATTTACCAGGAGGAGTTTTTTCTTATCAAGGTTTCTGGTGCTGAAGACCAGATGAACCCTCTGCCCAGCATGGTACCCTATGAGGAGAGTAGCATCAACTGCATAAGGAATTTTTTCAAAGTTCCAACCAGCATGCATAATAATTGGAAAACAGTAGATTTTTCCAGTGCCCCAAGGCAGAGAAGCAAGCTTGCCAGAGGAAGAAATTGGGAGCCCCCAAAGAGTCTTGGTGTCTTGATGTGAATGCCAAGATGTACATGCTGTGAGCTAGAGACCAGATGCAGTAGTGCCTGGCTGAGAGGACATAGTCACGGGGGAATGTCTGCCCATCTCCACAGGCATCAATGCGGACAGAAGCAGATGTTGAAGACCAGATGTCAATACCAGAAAACCAAAGATTGGGCACTTTCCTTGATCTCATGATTTCACATAAGCCTTCTTGGAACTGAAAGACCATATCAAACAGAAGTAGGGAAAAAGGAAAACATTAAATGTATTGAGTTTAAATCCAAAATGATGGATAAACCATTACATTGAATTATTTACCAAGTAGTGACAAGATGTGTTCTTATCTTATAAAAAC